GGTTTGTGATACCTTAAACTACCCAACCCCACTTTTTGTAGGTTCTTATTATAAACCCTAATATGGAGTTTATAGGGACCCCACAAAAAAGTAGGTTCTGGTAGGCTAAGGTAGGGCTTAGGGTTTAGGGTTTAGGTTTGTGTCAGAATCCTAATCGCCTCGATCACGAAAGCCCCTAAACTCGCTGAAAAGTCTGAGCCCTCAACCCCAATTCCTGAACCCTATGGAAATGAAATCTCCGAAGCTCCGCATCCTATGAGCCTAGGCACCCCTGGACCAGAGTCCATGCAGAGGTCTTATGGCGGGCCTTATATTTCCCTTTCTGGGAACCCTAAGAAAGGAGCACCAAGCGCTTCTTGGACACCCGAAGCCCTGGCCCGAAACCCTAAACCCCCATAAACCCTAAACACCTAGTTTAGGGTTTAGGGGTTTTAGGGTTTAGGGTGCAAGAGCATCTGCCTGACGGAAAGATCAAGCTGTCTGCACCACAGGTTTCCTCAGACTACATCTGCGGGCTTCCATCGGCTACAGGCTCGGCATAAATCTACCAAGACAAGACAAGACTTGATCGGAGGCCAAAAGGGGGGTTTAAGATGCTTGCGGCAGGGATTCCTTAATTTGCACCCTATTAATATGGGAAGGAACCCTAGTCCCTACTAAACCCCCATAGGCTGAAACCCCTTTTTGGCCTCCTGTGGAACTTGAAAACGCTAGACACCCCAAACAAAACTTTTAAGCCCTGGTAAGGAAACGGAAACCCTGGATAATGGTTTTGGGTTTGCGGTCAAATGCAAAAATAGTCTGCGAAGTAACTTCTTGGGTCCGTACGAGAATAAAAATCAAACGTGATTCCCAAACAACATCCAGGCTAAACAGCTACGGGCAACAAAGAGGCCTTTTCTGGGTGAGGGCCCATGAGACTTTGGGTGGACTACTTAAAGGATCATGGGATGTGTAGTAAGAAGGCTATTATTGGGGTTTTAAGTCCCCTAAGTGGGGTTATCCTAGTTAAACTTATAACCGAACTTACTAAGTCCCATGAGCCTTTAAGTAGGCAGCCCGAGGATTCCACAAGGGCTTGGGTTAGGGTTTGGGCTTAGGAGGGGAGTTTGAGGGTGAAGGGGTGTGGAATTCTGTGTTGGGGTTCAGAGGCTGAATGTTTAGGGCTAGGGGGTTTATGGATTTGGGCTGTTGGGGGTAACGGTAGCGAAAGCTTCCAGATGTGCTTCTCCAAACATGTTGGCCCTGCAGCCTCAGCCTCAAACATATGGACCCCATAGCGTGAATCCTTAACATCAGAATCCTACACCCCAAGCCAAAACCCAAGACTCTATGTCCCTAAACCCTAAACCCCTAAATCCATCTGGGTGGTTGTCAAAATTATGGTCCCTTTTGGGGTACCCTAAGTATTAGGTGCCAGGACCCAAAAAGGGACCCTAATTTTGACAACTACCTAGCTGTTTGCTGCTCAGGCACTTGTGAGCTGCAACAGCAGGCCCTTGGAGCTTTGGGGTTTAGGGTTTAGGGCTCTCCTGGGGTTTAGAGTTTAGGGCTCTCTTGGGGTTTAGGGTTTAGGGCTGGTTTAGGGCTCTCTTGGGGTGTAGGGTTTAGGGTTTAGGGCTCTCTTGGGGTTTAGGGTTTAGGGTTTAGGGCTCTCTTGGGGTGTAGGGTTTAGGGTTTAGGGCTCTCTTGGGGTTTAGAGTTTAGGGCTCCCTTGGGGTTTAGGGTTTAGGGCTGGTTTAGGGCTCTCTTGGGGTGTAGGGTTTAGGGTTTAGGGCTCTCTTGGGGTTTAGAGTTTAGGGCTCCCTTGCAGTTTAGGGTTTAGGGCTGGTTTAGGGCTCTCTTGGGGTGTAGGGTTTAGGGTTTAAGGCTCTCTTGGGGTTTAGAGTTTAGGGCTCCCTTGGGGTTTAGGGTTTAGGGCTGGTTTAGGGCTCTCTTGGGGTAAGGCTCTCAGGACTCATAGTTTTAAGGCTTTTGGGCCTAAAGACCATATTATGTAAGGCTTTGGGCCATTTCGAGCCTTAGGCCTTAGGGTTGCGGATTTAAGGTTCAGGCTTCGGGCGCAGCGCACGACGTTTCAGCTACGGGTACTCTCTGCGAGGGGTTAGACTAGGTTCTTGCTCGGGAGCGCAATTTTTAGTCTTAGTTGAAGTTTATTCATATTCATAATAGTGAAGATGGCACATGACATGCTTTCTTTATTCTGGCAACTTCGCTCGAGACTCAGAACAAAGAACGAATCTGTGCCTCTTCGCGTGGTGGCTGAACGGCTACTCGAACTGTGAAGCTTCAGGATCCCGACTTAACCCTAAGGGAACCGTAGTTGGAGGGGCAGGGGACTTGGTAAGTAGGTTATAAGCAGAGTTATAAGTACCCTAAATGGAATTATATACCCCAATTATAACCCTAGTTATAAACGACTTACTAAGTCCCTTGCCCCTCCAAGTAAGGGAATGCCAGGCTATGGATTTGCAGCTTTAGATGTATATACCACACTTAGAACCACAATAAAAATATCTGTTTTCAATATTCGTTTGGGTTTTATATGGACAAAAATACATGTATTTCCTAAGGAGACTATAGTTAACCGTAAAGGAATGCTAGGCGATGGATTTGCAGCTTTAGACGTATAGGCATTGTTGAATCTCCGGTCCAACTCGCTGCTTCCCTAAACCCGCCGAGAACAAAGCCCCCAGAGACTCCAATATCGCTTAATCTAGTTCATTGCTGGGATAGGCAATGCAGGGTATCTGGCTATGCCAGTCATGTGCCCCGGAATTGGCACTGGGTACGCCATCGCAGGGGCTTGAAATCAAGAACTCGGGCAACAAACCCTAAAACCCTAAAACAAGCTGAGGGCGCCGCAGACTCATGGCATGACGATGGCCTGTCACAGTGATCGAGTGATGAGAGCCCAGCACCCCTCAACTAAGCACTTTCCTAGACCATAACCTCATCTCATATCAATGAGGACAACTTCGATCCTGCATGATATGAGGAACATCAGTATCAGAAACACGCCCTGCCCTGAAGGCCTAAGGCCGGCTCGTTAAGGAATGTAGCGGCCACTATACCATGAACCCTCTTCCTTGACCCTAAGAAACCTACCTCTTTAGGGATCCTTAATATGACTTGTTTATATAAGTTCTCAAAACGGGTAGGTTATTTGGGGTTAAGGGACACGCTAAGCCATGAAGACTCTGCAATTCGCCGATATCTTTCCCAAAGGCTCCATGTACTTTTATAGTAGATACTTAAGCCTTAAAGGTGTCCCTATATAGGTACTTTAAGGCCTCAGTATATACTATATGGGTACATGGAGCCTTAGGGTTTTGCTCTCAGGCAGGCTCTCTCTGTGCTATGAGGTGTTGCCTCCCTATAGTCACCACGTAACCAAACTTATACTGTAGAGTCCTAACTTTTAGGGTTTTCCTTAACCCTGAATAACCTACCTAGTATGATCTCCTTATATAAATCCTTAAAAGGGCTATGTTATTCCGGCTTAAGGTAGGGTTTAGGGTTTCGGAGTTTAGGGTTCAGGGGAGTCCTAACCATAAGACTTTCTAGCCAGTTTTAAAAAGGACCGGCCACCGGCTGAGGTCTCAGGTAGGACTGCTTGAAGGACTAAGCGCCCTTGGAATGTCTAATGATCCCTGGAGCTTTGCTATAATATTAAAATAAGAGAACCCTAATCCCTAAACCTAAACCTTACTAAGACTTTAAGCAGAATCCCTGTGTACTCTTGCGTGGGTTCAAGGCCACGGGCTTCAGACCGCAGGTTACACTGGAGGTTCAATGGGGTTTGTATACGATAGATACCCAGGACCCCCCAAGGAGGATCCAACAGCAAGATCCATTAAGGGCAGTCCCATACAGTACCCTTTAGTAGCATAGCGTCCCATACTAGGGGATCTACTTTGTAGATCCTCCCGAGGGTCTGGGCAAGGGTTTCGGGTGCAAAGAGAGGGGCCTCAGTCGATAGAAAAGGGCTTTGGGGTATAATATCTGCAAGAATTGCACAGAATACTAATACGGAGTATAGAGGGATACCAGTGTACTAACCCTAAGGCTCTAAGAACTCACTTGTGAAGGCTTCTGGGCCTAAAGACCATGTTATAGAAGGCTTTTGGGCCATTTTGAGCCTCAGGGTAATTGCCCAACCTCTGGATTACAGAATCTCGACACGCCGAAACTTCCGGGCTCAAGTAGCAGTACTGCTCAACATGTTTCTTAGTAGGTACTCCCTATACTATAGTCTCCATTGTAGTTCCTCTTTTGTTGGTATGACCAAAATCTAAACTATGGGATCCTAACCATAAGATTGGTTAACCGGTTAACCAAACAAGGAACTACAATGGAGGCTATAGGTCGTATTTCCGTTGAGTCCACGTGTGTCTCTGTATAAGTATACTACGACAACCCTGTCTTGTATTAACTAGTACAGCCCGGACGCGGCAGCGAAAGACCAGTCCAACAAAAGCGCCCTTGCGAAATGTGAGAACACCAAACAACTTCCCAAGATCCACACAATGATGCCGAACACCATCTCAATGCATACCCGCCTAGCCAAGCCCACACCAAAAATTGAATGTAATCCCAAACCACGGCCAACCTCTAAATCCTGACCATGTCCGTTCCGCTATGCGGTCTGGGGGTGAGCGTTCCTTGGCGCCGAAACCTGAAACAACTGACCTGTTATTTTTTTCGGCCAAATTTCCCAATACTATTCTGGGGTTCTTGATTAGAGTCATAGTATAATGGGCCCAAAAGGCCTATTGTAATTGCTGAGGCCCCTGTATGAGTCGCCTTCTTCCAGACCACAAACTCAAAAAAACTCAAAAGATCTCCAAGACTGGTCTTCCAAACTATCTCCGTGCGAAGAGGAATTGCGCTTTTCTGCAAATCCTTGCTGGCTCCAGCTTGAAAAGCATGCGCGCAACTATACATTAGCGTTGTCGTATTCGCAAATTGAATCAATTATCAACTTCCGAAAGCATGCATCATCCGATCTCTGCACGGCCGTGGTCGCGCGCACGAGTGAGAGCTGTGCCACAGTTCGGCAACTGCTTGTCGGCTCCAGCTTCCAAAAGCATGCGTTCGATCTCTACATGGCCTTTGTTGCAAGCACAGCTGAGCGCTGTGCCGCCGCAGTCGCTCTGCAAATCCTTGTTGGCACCAGCTTCCAAAAGCATGCGCGCGATCTCTACATGGCCTTTGTTGCAAGTACGAATGAGAGCTGTGTAGCCGCCGGAGTCCTGCAAATCCTTGTTGGCTCCAGCTTCCAACAGCACGCGAGCCATCTCAACATGGCCATTCTCACATGCACGAATGAGAGCTGTGTAGCCAATGTAGTCCTGCAAATCCTTGCTGGCTCCAGCTTCCATAAGCATGCATGCGATCTCTACATGGCCTTTGTCGCAAGCACAGCTGAGAGCTGTGTCACCCTCTCTGTTCTGCAAGTCCTTGTCGGCTCTAGCTTCCAAAAGCATGCCCACGATCACTATATGGCCTTTGTCGCATGCACAGCTGAGAGCTGTGTCGCCGTAGGCGCTCTGCAGGTCTGTGTTGGCTCCAGCTTGCAGAAGCATGTGTGCAATCTCCACGTGGCCTTTGTCGAGTGCACGACTGAGAGCTGTGTCGCCGCCTATGTCCTGCACGTCCTTGTTGGCTCCAGCTTCCAAAAGCATGCGTGCGATCTCTACATGGCCCTTGTCGCATGCACAGCTGAGCGCTGTGTCGCCGTAGTCGCTCTGCAAATCCTTGTTGGCTCCAGCTTCCAGCAACACTTGCACGGTCTCTACACTGCCTGCCGCGCACGCAATCATGAGGACTGTTTGGTGTGGAGAAAAGCCGATCGCCGAATCCTTGTCCGCACCATGTACTAAAAGCATGCGCACAAGGTCAACCCTGCAGCACCAAGTTACTAGAGCTTCGTCAACTGCTGTCTGCGACTGGCGCGACAAAATCAGCTGCAGAGTGCTGGGAGCATCTAGCGCAGCATCATCGTCCAAAATACAGCCGTCATGCATGAGCTGTTGGATGGCCTCTGGAATTTGCAAAGCATCTTGCAGGTAGAGCTTCAAGTCTCGCACACTCCCCACATCTTCAACAGCTGCCTTAGCCAACTCGTCCCCTGAAAGCTTCACGACACGGATCATACTCAGTCAATGACCACCCATAGGCCCCATAGTAGTTCCTTTCTTGGGTTCGTAATTAGAATCCTAGAAGGGAATCCCCCAACAGGAACTACTATGCGGCCTATGACCGGATCACGGTTTGGAGGGGCTGAAGGCGAGACCAGTATGACGCGATCAGCAATTTGTAGAAACTGCGGATTGCAAGGTGCCTTGGTATATAGTATATAGTATACACTATATAGTATATAGTACCTTGCCCCCATATAACCTACTCTTTTAAGGACTTATATCAGGATACCATAAGGAGGAGCCCAAAAAGGTAGGTTATTTGGGGTCCAGGTATGACATGACTGCAGGCTTGGACCAGGGGTCAAGTCAACATGCCGACAGCATGCCTTGGAAGCTTCGCACAGCAGGAGTCTTTCATGTGACCTAATGAACGGTGGTGTAGGGTTGAGTGTTCAAGGGGTGTTGTCACCGAACTTTTCGATCTGGGCATTATTGATTAAACAGGAAGTTTTCACCCGTTCGCTGGTGCGTGCTCTTTCACCAACGCCTTTGCTGCGCATTGTTTCGATATCTCTCCACTATGATTACTTTCCTTGGCGCCTCGCTTGAGCATGTACTGAGATGCTTAACCGATGGCGTAATATAAACTTCCCCTGGCTAAAGACAAACCAGCGAGCGTGTGAACTCCCTAATCAACCGATGCTGCAGGATGCTGTGCTCCCGGAACCTTCAGAACAAGAGCCCAAAAGCCCAAAGCCCCTTTTGTGGCGTTACATGAGATTCTCTCTCAAACCAAACCCCAAAATCCGACAAAACTCCAAGTCCGCCAATCATCCGAAAATTCGAGGAGCAAGCCCCAAAGCCCGAAAACCCAAGGCGCCTGGCGGAACAGCCGGTGGTGGAACGACGAGGGTTCGGTTGCAAGATCAGGGGTGAGGGTTGAGGCTTGGAGGCTTGGGGCAATGCGGCTTTTGTCTTTGAGTTGCTTCATGCGTGGATGATCTTCTGCACGTCGCTCAAAGCTACATGCGAAGCCCTCATGGTCTACCTTGGTCTTATTGCTTTGCTTGTCACCTCGAGACTAAGCTTTCTGGGCTGGCTCCGCCATACAGACTGTCTCATGAAGCACATGAAGCGTCAGGAGACTTCTCACCGGCGGTCGAAACACGCGCGCCCAGAGGTGCGGTATGCCGCGGTTTAGGGTTTAGGGTTGCAAGTTTCGGTTTGAGGGTTCGGTTTGAAAAACCGAGAATCCTCCATAGTAAAGGGTCCTTCTTGCAGGGGCTTCCATGAAACTACCCGAGTTATACAGTACTTATGGCTTGACTTACGAAGTCCCATGACCCTCCAAATCGACCCTATACCCTAAAACCTATACATCCCTTTTGAGGAGCCCTTGCAGGAACCCTACTGATTAAGATCCTCCAAGTAGCATAGGGTTTAGGGTTGAGAGATTCCTTTCAAGGAGCCCTTGAATTCAAGGAACCCTGTTAAGATGCTTAGCTTAGAGGTAAACTCCCCCTCAAGATGGATCTGCTCTTTGAGGCTTCGGTGACGTTTGCAAAAGGGTTTGCCTATCGTCTCCATCGTCATTAGTTCCCTTTTAGAGTTACCTTGTTATAGTATCCTAGCTGTACAATTGGGTTCACCGAAAAAGCCAATACAGTGGAGACTATGGACAAGGTTGCAACCCGAAGCCCTACACCCCTCAACCCTAAACCCCTAAAGCCCTCAATGCTGAACCCCTAAACCCTAAACCCCTAAAGCCTAACCCCTAAACGGTTCAGGTATCGAGGTGCCACTCGTTTCAGGCTCTTACGGTTTAGGGTTTAGGTTTTAGGGTTTTCGGGTCTGAAGTAGGACCTGGTAGGACCCTTATGTATTTGGGACTCCCCGACCTACACAAACCTTCCAAATCCCCCTATGCCCTACATCATATTCGGGATCCTACTTCAATCATATCGGGGGTCCTACATAAATCATATTGGGGATCATACTTAAATTATATTGGGGATCCGACTGGGTACTTTCATTCCTTGCACAGGGTGGGCTGAAGAAAGGAAGCGGTCCGGCTCGTCTGCAGAAGCGCCTCCCGCCGCCAGAGCCTGCGGAGCCGAGCTTGCATGTTGTCAAGCCTTCCAGAGACTCCCGATCCCTAAAGTAAGGAATATACCTTCAGCTATAGCAGGATCCCTAATATGATTTAAGGAGTATATCCTTGCTTGAGGGACATTGGGGTCTCTGGGTACTGGCCTTGGGTTTTGATGGGGTATGATGCAGGAGCTCATTGTGTCGGAACTATTGCCGACTTGGCATGATGTTGCTGATGAGATTGTTACGAGCTACGTAACTAGGGCTGAGAGGATGGCTGCAGCTGCTGTTCTCGGCATGCTGCAAACATCGGGTTACTATAGCGGCCTGAATAATTCGAGTAGGGTTTTGGGGGTTCCTCAAGTTATAGTATAGTGGGCCCCAAAATCATATTCTAATTATGAATGCCCCTATATTAGCTTTAAAAATAGTGGATAAGCGATGACAAGTGTCCGATCTTGACTTGGACAAGTTTTGCCACACCAAGAGCTCACGCTCCTCAACTCTAAGCCTAAACTGCATACCGAAAATCTGTTTAAGGCTTTGGGTTTAGGGTATGGTATTGGTTTGCTAGCTATTGGGTTTAGGGCAAAACAGCTCGGTTGACCAGAAAAACATCCTTCCTACGGTACTTAAGGTTCTACTTGGCGAGAAGTCGCCAAGTCAGACTCCCAAAGAACCAAACGCCATAAATCCAACACTAAAGCCTACAACTCTACCAACGGCACTAACTTAAGACAAGCTCTGAAACGCTAGCCCTGAACCCTAAAACACGAATTGAAGACCGTATCTCTGCATGAAATACCCGTAAAGCCTTGTACCGGCCCTTGTGGAACTCTTACAGCAACCTTACCAGAAGCCTTGAGAGAGGGCGTGCCCGGAGTCGTGGTAGAGTCCTCGGCTAATGCTTTGGGAAAGGGTTCAGAGTTTAAGAGTTTAGGCTTTATAAGGCTTAAGGTTGTTTGTTGAACCCCGTTTTGTGTCTGCAGCCCTTGTCACCAAAAACTGCATGCGTACGGCTTGACTTCTGAACCCCTCAAAAAATTTAAAGTCCTAAGAGCCAACCAGAAGAACGCCAGGTTTAGGTGCTTGGGGGTTTACTTGGAGGGGCAGGGGACTTAGAAAGTAGGTTATAAGTAGAATTATAAGTAGCCTAAATGGAGTTACCCCAATTATAGGCCTATTTATAAACGACTTTCTAAGTCCCCTGCCCCTCCAAGTAGAGTTTTGGGCTTTGGGTTTGGATTGACTCAGGCGGGGATGGATCTTCGGGTGCTACTTTTTCAAGAGTCAGGGCCTTCCAGCACCCCCCAAGTACCCTCTAATAGAGCCCTTATGGTCCTTAATAGTGGGTATTTGGGGTATATTACAGGGTACTTGGGGGGTCTAGGTTGGGCCTTGGGCCTAGAGTTAGCGCTGCAGATGCGAGATTTTGGAGCTTGATGCTGCGGCTGTATGTCGAAGTTGGTCTGTAACAGAAGTGAATCATCTGCTGTAGCCGCATGATTCAGTGTTTCCAGCTTCTGTCAGAAGCTCTGCATTCGCAGCAGTGGGTACGGTGATAAGAGGATCTAGAACCCTACTACCTTAACCCTGGATAACCTACATTTTTAGATTCCTTGTTATGATGTATACGTCCTTAAAACGGTATGTTATTCCGGCTTCAGGAAAACCCTTAGGTCCCAAAGCCATGTTTGAGTTGCTATAACTCGTTATGGCAGTCCCTGAAAAGTCGCTCGCATAGTTGTACGATGGCATACCATGACATACACCGAAATCCGTCTCTCATTGTTAAGGCTCCTTATCTCATCTCTTTTAGATAATCCCGTACTCCTAAACCCTAACTAGACCCTGACTACCGTAAGCCCCTAAACCGTTAAGCCCTAAACTCCTAAACTCCTAAATCCTAACTAAAAACCCAAGCCCGGCAACGTGCGAGCACCATCCAACTGAGCGGCAGCGGCTGCATGAGGGCGCAGAGCCTCAACCTGATCTAGTTGAGTTTGGGAAAGGAGGAGCAGGGCTATGATATATATCCTGCATGACCCTGATAAGGAATATACCATAAATCCCATAGTTTAGGGTCCTTAAGGTAATGCAGGATTTGTATCATCAACAGAAGTACCTAACAATCATATACTCTCCCAAATAGTAACATACATAACTACTACTCGAAATCTTAGTGCCTATAATTATTGGGTCCTTTGGACCCTTAGGGTAGGTTTGAGCGGTAGGTCTTCCTGTTGCGCCAAACCCCGCAACAAAATAGTAGGTTATGACTCATGACTGCTGTGAAGCCTTTAAAGCAATATGGGAGTTTCCGAAAATAGGGGACCCTAATATAGTATACCCAAATAGTAGGATCCGTACTGTAAGGACCCCAAAATAAGGTATCCCTCAAATTTTCGAAAGCTCCCAAAGAGGTTTTCGGGATCCTCAGGGTTGGGGTTCGGGAGAAGTGGAGCCTGTCGCTTACTTTGACACAACACGGGGAGACTTGCGAGGTCCAGACATAGTACCCTAAGGCTTCAAACGGCCCAGAAGCCGTATATAATATGGGTAGTTGTCAAAATTGGGGTCCCTTTTTGAGTACCCCAAATAGTTGGTGCCGTATTATAATAAGGACCCCAAAACGAAACCATAATTTTCACAACCACCGATATGGCCTTTAGACCCAAAAGCCTTAACGTATGAGCCCTTAGAGCCTTGGGGGTAAGGATGATGAACAGGACTCCAGCCAACCCAAAGGCTTCAAGTTTGGGGTTGAAGGTGCAAGTCCTTGGTTGCTGAGTTCATACTTGGAGGCCCTTTTGACTTAGTAAGTAGGGTTAGTAAGGTGGGTTATGGGGTTTCTAATAGGGTTTCTAGGGGATCCTAAGTAGACTTAATAAGTCAAAAGGGCCTCCAAGCAAAAAGTGTAC